GACTGAGACAGAACAGGGCGTGGGTTTGTCCAATAGAAGAGGGACATCACTTTGAAGAGTGCACTGCTCTGTCCCTGCTAGCATGACCTTGCACGTGGGTGGGTCCAATGTCATGTTGGTGCAGGGTGGAGTGGCATGCTCTTTGAAATGGCATCCTCTATGTGCCATGCAGGCCAGGTCACACCGGCATTGGACACATGCCATTACCAGAAGTACCAGAATATCTGGTATTCTGGGAATGCGTGAGTGACCACCCTACCCCTTTCCTCCTTCAGCTCTTCAGACACTCATAGTACTCCTAATGATGAATAGCTGCTCAAACCATTTCCATTGACTCAGACTCCTCTGAGATCAGAAGCGAGTTTTTTTTTTCTCTTTGGGACCCCAAACATCATGGGATCTCCAAAGCTCTTCCCGTAGGCCTTGATGCTCAGTCAAGATGGTTAAAAGTGACTAGGGGTGCCTCAAAGTTAATGGGAGCGGTGTCTCTAACTGAGCTTTGTGCCTTCAAAAATTCCCTGCTCACTATTTTAGCATCCAATTTGAGACACCATAAAGGGGCCTGATTATTAGACAGGGCTGAACACAGGCCCTCTGAAAATGAGACCCATTTAGGAGGTCATTGGTTGGGCACCCCAATCGCTAGTCACTTCTGATAATCTCAGCCACCATTGATCATATTCATGATGAGGCTCCCTAGTTTTCACTTATTTACTCCCATCCTTGGGCCTCACTACAGAGGGTCAATTTTCTTTTTGTTGAAGCTTTTATTTAAACAAAAGATGGCTTTTTGACTGCATGGAAATTGGGATCATAGTCAATGAAAACCAAAGACCCAAAATGTTCAATTTTCAACAACAGAAAGACTAAAAAATAGGCTTTTGTTTTTTTGGGCGTTTTAAGTGAAAATTTCCCATTAAAAGTTTCAATGAAAACATTTTCTTTGCAATCTTTGGTGGAAAATAAAATACATTTCCCAGCCAATTCTAGGTGTCTCGTTCTTCACTTCCCCACCCAATCTTGCTGCTTGAGTAGGGGTGCTGTCTATTGAGGAAAATCTTTAACTCAAAGGAACTTGGAAGACCCTCAGACCTTGCTTTTTCCTTTATAACAATGCAGTTGTCACCCGAATAGATTCTGTGTTTTGACCTCTAATTCATCTCTTGAAGGGTATAAGTCTGGCTGCTGGAACTGGAATAATAAAGGAGAGATTTCACATCTCTGAAAATATAGAGTTGGCTTGAGAAAATGCTTTTTTATTTTTCTGTGCCACATACAACTTTTTAGTCCCACTGAGTATGTTCCATTTATCTAGTGGAGACAGGGACCTAGTTCCTTGCCAGTTAGAATAATGTCCACTTCAGCTCCCAGCCTACTCAGTGGAATGAATCAGGCAAAAGAGGAAACAAGGCAATTGTGATGCCTGAGGTGTTTATTTCAAATTTAGTTCAGCAGCTAGATTGTTGTGAATGGGGATGTCCCCCTGTAAGCCCCGTGTCTTGCCTGTCCCCCAGACTGCAAAGCTTAGCACAATAGGTAGTTCATGCAACTGATGGCAGCCTAGTTCCAAATAAAAATAGTATTCTACAATCATTGTGCACAGCTGTGAATGACTAAGGAAAGATGCAAATTCTCCTTTTTTGGAGTTTTTCTCAATATGAAAATCTGAGTATCTAAGAATTTATATTCTGGTAGCCGCTAGAGACCTCGGCTGAGATCAGGGACTATTGTGTTAGGCACTCTACAAATATATCCTAAGCAGAGTTATTTGAATAACCGTTTTTGCTAACGATTCTCAATAATAATAATAATTAATAAAAACATTATTTCAGGTCCAATCAAAAAAGAAATGTTGGGCAAACCAAAAGGTTAAAAACATTGTTTCAGTTGAGCAAAAATTCTTTGTTTAGTTTTTGTACGCTTTTTGTTAATGTTGTTGTTTTTAAAAACAAATAAAGAAAATTTCAGAACAACTTAGTTTTGAATAAGAAAACCATAACATTTCATTTTGATAATATTGAAACAATCTTTTTGAATTTTTAAAAATTTGTTTTAGTTAAAAAAATGTGAAATTAATACAAGTTTATGAAATGTTCAGGTGTCACCCAATCTGCATTTTTACCAGAAAAAGGTTTGGGGGGGAAACTTATGTCCAGTTTTGATAAGCAACAATCCTTGCACCAAAAAGCTGACATCTCACTAGCTAGGACACTCAAATGGTAGGAGGGGAATCGGAGGCACAGAGAGGCAATACTGCTCGATAGCAGAGCCAAGATTAGAACTCTAGTCTCTTAAGTTAGTGCTCTTGTTACCTGTCAGCTCTGTGTTCTTGGGGAACCAGGGTGCAGTATCCAGCCTGTCTGACTCACAAAGGACCCCCTGCCCTCCAGCCTCTGCTTGAACCAAAACCAGTCAGAAGAAAGACTTGCGAAAAGGCAGCAGGGGACACACTTAAACCCTTCTGGACAAGGGTGACAGGATTAAGGCAACTCCCCTAGCCTCATTTGCATCAAAGACGGGATAGGGAGGCATCTCCATTAGCATACAGAATGGAGAACAGAGATTCCAAGGCAAGAACTGCACTGAACTCTGGGACCAGGGAAGCACTGCATGATGGGGGAATCTCTGCTCCAGATGTTAATGAACCTACCCCTGCACACACCTGGTGCAGTAGTTATCAGACCAATTCTACCAATAAATCCTTTACTGGTATCCAAAATACTGAAGCTACCTAATTGCATCTTGAGCTCCTGCAAAGGAACACCACCCATAGCCAGGAATGATCAGTTCCTATTCTCTAGCCTGAACAAAACAACTCTGGTACACTCCCTTGAGCCACTAGTTTACCCGTTAACAAATCTAGTGTTCTCCCTTGAACCATTGTTGTTTCCTGACAAAAAACCCCTTCCCATGCTCAAGTAAGTGTTCTGATGCTTGGATCCAAAATCTGCATCAGTTCCACTGGGACTTCATCTTCTCCTGACTGAGCGTGCTGGGGGCTCTGTCAGCACTCCGGACCTTCAGCTATCATCACCACCTGGGAACCCTGACCGGTTCAAGGTTCACGGAGTGGTGAGAATCCAGCTCACTTGCGCTCGCTCTCTCTCTCTCTTTTTCTTTTTCTACTCTAGGTATAGCTTTCTAACCCTGAGTTGTGTGATCAGTTATAGTTTTCTAAACCTGACTTTTGTAATCAAATTTAAGCTAGATTTAATATTGTAACTGTTTTGTTTGTTTGGGTCTCCTTGTATGATTATTACTTGGCAATAATTAACTTTTATGGTTAAGCTGGTTGCTTCCCTCCCTCTCTCTCTTGTGTTTTTGGCTTCCCCATTTGCTCTGCAGCAATGCTCCTCTTACCTAAGCTAAAGATTCTTGCAGAGCCCAAAAGTCCTGTAGGGTTTGCTTATCAAGTGCATTACTACCAGAACAACTTATAATGTGAAAGTGGGGAGAGGGACGTGCTGAACCTGTGTCATATAAGGGTGGCAGCTTGAAGGTGTGGCTCGACCCTGCTTACTCAGGTGTACTCTATTCCGGTGTGGTGCCTGTGGCATATGAGGGTGGCAGCTTGGAAGTACTGCTCAGCCCAGCCTGCTGAGTCCAGGGACATATAAGGGGTCACCTTGGGCGTGCTGATTGACCCAGTCCACTCAGATGCGCTCTGTTAATGTGTGTGTTCATCTGATTCTGGGGCTGCAGGAACCCAGCCCTGGGAAACCTAGGTCCTGCAGGATAGCGCTATTGGGAGGGAACTTGCAGAAGGGAGACACATAGCTCTGTATGAGAACACAAGTGACACAAGCAGTACATTGATAGAATTACAGACACCCCCCCCAGAAGAGTACCCCTAATAAATGAGCATACCCCAACATAATGGGCAAATCTGGTAACACCCTATCCTGTGGACCATGCTGCCTCTCACTAATATATCATGTAAGCACTTGTACAGTGCTCATCAACACCTCTTAGCGGGGTGCTGGATGGCTAAGGCATTGGGAATAGAATGTGAAGCCTTTCACCTTTAGTTTATTAGCTCAGATTGTATTGGCTAGACAGATTCCCTTAGGGAGCAGAAAGGGAATAACAGTGGACAACTATGCAAAATGGGAGAAAGGGACAGCCAATGAAATTACAAGGCAATACATTTAAGAGTGATCAAACATAACACATAATCACCCTGTGGAACTCACTGCTACAAGATATCACTGAGATCACGCACTAGGATTCAATAGAGGATGGATAATAATGAGAGCATCCACAGGGTCATTAGAGGCAAAATATCTACAAGGGATATCAGCCCTCATGCTTCAGGGCATGAGCCAACCACAAATGGCTCGATCAACAAAGAGATTTAAATTCCTCACTGCCACTTTAGGTTCCTAGGTCCAAAATTTAGATCCTCAGAACCCCCACTTGGCTACTTGCTAACCCAGTAGGCACCTAAATTCTGTTGGTGCCTTTGTTTCTGTCAGTAAAGTCCCCTAGGCACCAAAAATTTCTGCTGGATGGCATACACAAAGCCATCTAAGTCTTGACAGCAATGAGCTGCTCAGTGCCTAGTGCGCCTCTAAGCCTGGCCGGCTGCTGGACTAGATGGACCATTGGTCTGATCTGGCTTGGTATTTCCTATGTTGCTAAAACAGATCTACACTGGTGACTTGGCCAACTCTCTTTGAATGGCCAATAGGACCAGGATTAAGAATCATTTGCTGAGGGTTAGAGTTCAGGTACATGGCACGATTGCCCATTCCACCTCTCAAATGCCCCTCCCTCCATTTTTTTTCTCATACAGAATTTTCAGTAAGAAAAGTCAGTGCAAGTGAGCTCTTGAGGGGGCTTTGTGTGGAGGCGGTTTTGCCGAGAATCAGACCACAGGACTTGTGGGCCTGTCAGTGAAGAGACCCATATCTTACTTGTAATTGGTGGGATAACCTGTTTCGCAAAGAAGCCATTACTGATTGTGTCTCACCTTATCTTTTCTTTTTCTCCTCCCTCAGGATATTTGTGCTGGGCATTGGATTTTTCACCCTGTGCTTCTTAATGACATCTTTGGGAGGCCAGTTTTCAGCCAAAAGGCTGGGAGACTCTCCCTTCACCATCAGAACCGAAGGTAACTGAGATTTTAACTGTTTTGAAAACTATTTTAAAAGAGGAGAACTTGTGCTGGTTTTGGCTCCTTGTGACTAGTATGGGAATAAATGCCCCTTCTGGGATAGATGAGTACAGGGAAGTGATAGTGCACTGTCAATGTCTGCTTCCTGCTGGAGTATGACAGACTTACCCGTGCCTAATAGCTCCCTCTACCGGCTCACTGGGTAGAGGCCTGTGTTTCTGGAGCCGCAGATCTTGAATTGGTTGAAATTCCAAGTGTATGGGCTGCTTGACTATTTCCATTCAGCTCTTTGTCATTGCAAGCTCCATAAACAAGGAGGGCGGAGAGGGAGGAAATCAGATGGAGACTGACATTTTTGCAAAGCCTCCTCGAGAACATCACGAAGTGTATGGAGGGGGATGTAAACCATGAAGCTCTAGCAGTGTTTGGTGCAAAGCATTGTGATGACACCTGGTGTATAGAGAACCTCGGTGATCTGAATGCAAAGGGCTAGATCGGAGATGGGCAAATTACGGCCCACAGGCCACATCCGGCCCGCGGGACCGTCCTGGCTGGCCCTTCAGCTTCCGGCTGGGGAAGCTAGCCCCCAGCCCCTCCCCAGCAGCCTCATCTCGCAGTGCCGCTAGCAGTCTGGGTGGCTGGGCTGCAAGCACCTGCCGGGCAGTGGGGCTGTGAGAGCCACCAGATGTAGTGTATTAAATTGCTCCCTGTAGCAATGTGCTACTTATGGAGCACCAGGACTGGCAGCTGTAAGTAGTACACCGTATGTACCATATTCCTATGGGGAGCAATTTAATACTCTACACTGGCCCTCCATACTGTTTAGGAACCCCGATGTGGCCCTCAGGCCAAAAAGTTTGCCCACGCCTGGGCTAGATCCTCAGTTCATGTATGCTGTTGTAGCTCCATTGACTGTGCCAGCTTACAGCACCGGAGGCTCTGGCTCAGGACTGTGGAAGGCTTTGTGGTTGTAGACAGGTTTGGTCGCCAGGGAGTGAAAGTGTGGAGAGTGATGTTTTTGCCATTTTATTTTTTTTGTCTCAAAAGGAGATACTATGATGGGAAACTAGTGGATCAACTGTGAGTGTGTGTGTGTGTGTTAAATTTTAATACCCGTAAAAGTACTCTATAGAGGATGGAGGGGGAATAGGTGAAGTGTTCTGATTCTAATGGAGAAGCTCACTGGGAGAAGTGTTGCACAAGGGCAGCTCCTAGGATTGAAGGGATGTAACCCATTCCCTTCTTTTCCTCAGCCCTGTGTATTCCTGACACCTCCAACCTCTGGTTGCCTCCTGCCCTGATCCACCCTCCACCCCCCTACCCAGGCCATGTAGGGATCCTGCTCATCTGTTTGTGGGGTGAGTTCTTGTTGCCCCTGCTCACCTCCCATAATGGACTGAGGGGTCAGGAGATGGGGCTGCAGCGCAGCAGAAATGTGGGAGGATGGAGGGAGAATTGGGGGCTGGATGGCACAGCTGATGGGGAGTTGAGGATGGTGCATGTCGTTAGTGCCGTGGCATGTTGCTGGTGCTGTAGAGTTGTTAATGCTGCTATTCTCGGAGCTCCAGTGTTAGCTGCACCAGCAGAGTGCACAGCGTGTTGATTCAGCAGACCTCGGTGCTGTTCAGAAAGAAAGACCACAGGCTCGGTTCAGTGACGAAGGTGCTCGGCCAGGTTTACTGTCTGCAAAGCACGGTACTGGAGCCCTGTCCAGTAGCTCACAGGGACACTAACACGTGACAAGGTAAAGGATCAGTCAGCAAACAGGATGCTGTCCCCTCAGCCGATGTATGCCCCTCCCATGACTTCTCCTTTTATACATGGATACGGAATAAATGACATATTATGCTCCATATGTTGTTTGTTATCACCCTGGTATCTTGTACCTGCTAGTTCAAACAAAACCTCCTCATCCATTATCCTGTCATCCCATCCTTATCTTATAAGGGGTCGGTGTGTTCCTGTATAATCTCATGGGAATTGGTTTATGTGGTTACTTGAGAACTCTGGGTGTTCTTGTACCATCCTCTCTGGTTAGATGCGCTTACTTGGTTAGCCAATACCAGTTATACTACTGACAAGGCCTACTTCGCTTCATACTCTTAGTTTATGCCTAGGCCTCCAGCAAGGCCTACATGCATTAACTAGTGGGATGAGCATATGGCAGGGGTACTATGTAGCCGTGCAGGCCAAAAGCTGCCACACTCCAGTAGCCTTGATCCACTAAAATCTATTGGTGACATCAGTGATGGGTTTGCTACAGTAAAGAGTGTAGCAGTAGCTTCAGAAAAGGGGACAGGTGGGCGGATAGTGCTACCCTATATATGATACATGTCATCATCCCTGTAAAAGGGTCAATTGGCATTTCCTAAGTAGAAATACTCCGCCCTCATGACCACTGATCAACCAATGGGAGCTTGTTCTGACAGTGTGCATGGGGTTGCCAGGTGTCCGGTTTTCGACCGAAATGCCTGGTCAAAAAGAGACCCTGGCAGCTCCAGTCGGCACTGCCGACCGGGCTGTTGAAAGTCCGGTCAGTGGTGCAGCAGGGGCCTGGGGCTAAGGCAGGCTCCCTACCTGCGCTGGCTGTGTGCCGCCTCCTGAAGCGGCCGCCAGGTCCCTGCGGCCCGTAGGCGCTGGGGTGGCCAGGGAGGCTCCGCGCACTGCCCCCGCCCCCAGCGCCAGCTCTGCAGCTCTCATTGGCGGGGCAGGGGTGTTTGGTTTTGTGTGATTAGAAAGTTGGCAACCCTATGTGTGCATTGTATTTGGGTGTTGTGACTCAGTACTACTTGCTGAATGGAGTTTCTGCTGGACCTTTCTGAAGTCCATCACAGAGAATGCTCCAGCTTGCTCATGTCATTGAATTTAGCTCTGGATAAAAAACAGATGCTTGTTTGTTTTTGTTCCAATTTACCTCTGGACTGTTAAGTACTTTGGGTCCAAATGAAATAGCAGGGAAAGGAGAACTTTTCAAGAGAGGTGGCCCAATCCAGAGCCTGGGATAGCCAAGGTACATTTGGTCAGGCCAGAAGACAGTCCTGGAGCAAAGGAAAGACACCCCTTCACACACACACATGCTCTCTCCTAACTGGAGTGATAAACACATCACCCCCTCATTAACTGAGTGAGGAGGCCTCAGACTAAAATCCCCCATTTCAGCCAGAAGCCTAAGTGATGAGGGATAAGCCATAGTCTTTCGGCTTCTGCAACCTTCATAACAGCAGCCCCCTCCTTTCCCATACCAAGCAAAGCCCTTTGAGTTGGCCATTTACTGCTGCAGTTTTCCTGTTAACGTGCAGCAGCAGAAACCAAACTAACCCCCTCCCCGCATCCAATTCTCTGGGATGATCACTTTTCCCCTCCCCCCACCGCCTGGCTGGTATCGGGGAAGATCCCTGCTAGCCAAATGCGAACAGCTCAGTGCCAATGGCCCCCCCTCCCACCGCGTGGCTAACTGCGGGGAGGATTTATTTTCAGCCACAGGCAAACAGCCCAGTAGGAACAGCCACCTCTGAATGTCCCCTTAATCAAATTCCCCTATTTCAACCAGGTTACCATGAACGATATCACTCGTCTGAGGATAACACAGAGAGATAAAGAACGGATGTTGCTTGAATGCCAGCAAACACCAGAACCATACGCTGCCAAGCTTTGTCATTCAATGATACCAGATTACTTGCTACTAGCATGGCGTGGTAAAGTGTCCTACCATGGAGGACAGAATAAGGCTGCTCTCCCCAGAAACCTTCTGCAAAGGCCTTTAGAGTACCTCCAGGAGAGCTTCATGGAGATGTCCCTAGAAGATTTCCGCTCCATCCCCAGACACGTTAACAGACATTTCCAGTAGCAGTACTGGCCACGAATGCATCCCAAGTCCTCAGGGCTACTTAATCATTGAAAAACGCTTGCTTTTATAACATGTATTATATTTAAAAAGATACACTCACCAGAGGTCCCTTCTCCAGCTTCATTGGGTTGGGAGGGTATTTCAGTCAGGGTGATAAAAAGATCCTGGCTGTCAGGGAGAATGGTGTGTTGTGTGCTGTCCCCAAGCTCATCGTCCTCCTCCTCATCTTCCCCATCTGCAAAATCCTCAGCCATGGCGGAGAGTATCCCATCCTCGGAGTACACGGACAAAGGTGGGGTAGCGGTGGCGGCCCTCACTGGAATTGCATGCAGCTCAGCGTAGAAGCGGCATGTCTGGGGCTCTGTCCCGGAGCGTCCGTTTGATTCTTTGGTTTTCTGGTACGCTTGTCTGAGCTCCTTAAGTTTAATGCTGCACTGTGTTGCATCCCTGATGTAGCCTCTGTCCCTCATGGCCTCTGAGATTTTTTGAAATGTTTTGGCATTTAGTCTTTTGGAACGTAGTTCTGATAGCACGGATTCCTCTCCCCATACAGCGATCAGATCCAGTACCTCCCATTCGGTCCATACTGGAGCTCTTTTTCGATTCTGGGACTGCATGGTCACCTGTGCTGATGAGCTCGCCTGGCCAAACAGGAAATGAGATTTAAAAGTTCCCGGGGCTTTTCCTTACACCTGGCCAGTGCATCCGAGTTCAGAGTGCTGTCCAGAGCAGTCACAATGGTGCACTGTGGGATAGCTCCCGGAGGCCAAGACCTTTGAATTGCATCCGCACTAACCCTAATTCGAAACGGCAATGTCGATTTCAGTGCTAATCCCCTCGTTGGGGAGGAGTACAGAAATCGGTTTTAAGAGCCCTTTATGTCGAAAAAATGGCTTCATTGTGTGGACGGTTGCAGGGTTAATTCGGATTTAATGCTGCTAAATCCAACATAAACTCGTAGTATAGACCAGGCCCAAGGGATTAGTGTTTACTTGGCTGGTGGTAGTCTGAGCAATAGAACGCTGGGACATCAATGCCTTCCCGTTCTGTCTTGCACATTTCACTGAAGTCAGGTTGTCTCCCTTTAGAGACAGACCCATGTCTCCCACAGGTGGGTGTGAGCATGTCTTGTGGTCACTAGCCATGTAGT